GGCGAAACCAGACCAAAAGCGGTCATCCTGTGTCAGGGTCACGCGTTTGAGCTGGGTGGCTTATTGCAGCGCGGGGGGTAAATGGAAGGGGCAGCAGAAAATAGTGAATAATGTTTGTCGCTGGTTCTTTACAGAGAATTTCTTAAAGGCAGAAATATGTTCCTTAAGTGGGCTGCTTGTGTGGTGTTTACTTTTTGCAGGTAAGGTCCTTCAGGCCGGTGCTGATGAGTCTCTTCCCATTCACCGCCAGAAGGCTGGTTTCACAAGCATCCTGCGGGCTTAAGGCTGCTGCTGCTGCTTCAAAGAAACAGAAGGTTTGCTTAGAAATGGCTCGTCCTAGTTCAAGTAAGGCATCTACTTGTTTTAGTACCTTGCACAGGTGTTTAAGCTACATTTCAGATTTCAGAAGGTTTTGTGTAATAAGTGAAATCTATAATTCAAAATTTTTAGAAGAGGGAAGTTGATTTTTTTTTTCCAGCTGATAAAATTTCTCTGTGTGTATATTCAGTACGGATCCAAAACCCCTTGTGTAGTTACAGTCAGCATGATTATCTGGTGATGTGTTTTTAGTGCTTATGTACATAAACACGCACTAGTTGATTGCATTTCCTTTTTGTAATGGGTAATAAAACTCCTTTGTGCAAGAATTACAGAGGGCCTCGAGCATTTGTAACAGAGCAGGAGCAGGGTACTGGGTAACCCCAGGAGCCTTGTTCAGTCTAGTAGTAGTAAATATGCTTTTTGTTTGTTCAGGGTTTGGTTTTTTTTTTTTGGTTGTTTTTTAATCTGAGGATGTGTCTTAATTTAAAACCTGCACGCAGAGCTGCACAGGTATAACAGTAAAGCCCCTGACAGTTAGGTAGCCGAGGCACACTTGCTTGTTCTTGTGATGTCTTGAGCATCAGTGTTTGGCTGCTGTTAGAGACCAGAGAAGAGACTGGGGGGGCTTTTGGCCTGATCTTTACACGTTCAAGTGCTTGTGAGGTTTGGTTTAAAACAGCAGCCGGGGCATCAGAACCGTAGCGTTCTCTGCCCCATTGTACAGCTCTTATGCTGGGACTTCTCCAGTGACTTTCTCTCCTTATAAGAACTTACCTCCCTTTGATTTAAAAAACCAACCAAAGAAACAAAAATGTGTTGTAAATTGTGAAGATCAGGCTTCTGATCAGCAGCTCAGAGTTCAGCTGGGGGCCAGTCACTCATGGCGTACTGTAGGAGTTAATTCTGGGGCAAATATTGTTTAACACCTTCATTAATGATCTGGATGATGGTTCATGTCCTTGCGCTGAGGACCCCAGAGCTGGACACAGTACTGCAGGGGGGGTCTCATGAGAGCAGAGCAGAGGGGGAGAATCACCTCCCTCAACCTGCTGCTGATGCTTCTTTTGACACAGCCCAAGACACGGTTGGTTTCTGGGCTGCAAGCGCACACTGCCGGCTCATGTTCAGCTTCTCATCAACCAATACCCCCAAGTCCTTCTTCTCAGAGCTGCTCTCTATCCACTCTCCACCTAGCCTGTATTTGTGCTTGGGATTGCCTCGACCCACGTGCAGGACCTTGCACTTGGCTTTGCTGAAAAAATTCAAAATAGAAAATTCCAATTTCTATTTCTGTAGAAATTTCAATTTCTATTAAAAAATAGAAAATGCAGTTGCAAACCTAGAAAATGGGCAACATGCCTCAGAAGGAAATGCTTTTCCCCAAATTACCCTTAATTTTGAAGGGGCTATTTTGTAACTAAACATAATTTTTTTTCATCTTGGGATCTTACATTACGTTTAGGAAGCAAAATACTTCCTGATCGGTGTTCTGAAGCTGAGTTCGTGGGGGGCACATACAGCAGCTATTTCTGGATGTATAATTTCGCCAGCATTGCATGTATGGCCTAGTACATAAAAGTATAAGCGTTTGAACAGCTGTTTGTTTTTCCTCCCCGTGCATAGATATGGCTGAGTTTCGAGAAGTGTTTGCCAAAGCGAAGCATATAGCCATTATCACAGGAGCTGGCGTTAGTGCGGAGAGCGGCGTTCCTACCTTCAGAGGGGCTGGAGGTTTATGGAGAAAGTGGCAAGCCCAGGTTTGTACTGGTGGCGTGTGTCTGCGCAGCCGTGCTGAGCTCAGCCCTGTGGGTGGGTGAGTGTGAGGGGTCAGGAGAAGGTGGGTACTGTGGGGGGAAAGCACTCCCGTGGCGGTGCAGCAGGGTCAGCTCTCCCTGCAGCCCTGTCTGCAGCTTGTCCCTGTGCCCTGCGAGGGAGTTTTGTGCAGCTGCAACTTCTTTTCTGTTGTTTGGGTTATCGGCTGTTTGGGAAACACAGGGTTTTCACAGACAGCTCTGGGTCTTTCTACTGTCCCTGTTTTCTTGCTGCCCTGCAGCTTAGCTGCTTGCTCCTACCCTGTGGGGCCTTTCCTGTTTTAAACTCTGAAGAACCTTTTGCCACCATAACAAAGGACAGAACCCATGATACCAACTAGTTGTTTTCTTTTAATCTTGGTTTCTCATAATACTCTTTAAAAATGTTTTAGGATTTGTTTTGGTTTTGGGACAGGGCTACTCACAGTCTTTAACTCTCCCACAAGCTCTGTCTCTCTTGCTGATGGGATCTTGCCGCTGTTGGGAGCTGCTGGGTGAGAGAGGAGGTGGAAGCAGAGGCTGCAGGGTGGAGTGACGGAAGGGAGAGCACCAAATACACGAGTTGTAGAGGTGCCTTGTGGGTCTGATCCTGTGCAGTGCTGCAGATGTTTCAAGTAACCATTATATTGTCAGTAACTGCTACCCCAAACACTGCGATCATGTTTGCTTTCTTTATGTTTTTTGATGGTAGCATTCATTAAAGATCTGTTGAAGTTAAAAAGGGGTCAAAGAGATGAGGTTTTAGAGATGGTTTGAATGTAAAGGTGCATTTTTTCTTCCAGTGACTATAAATTCAGATAAAGCACCTGTGTGTATATATATGCCTGGTCCTTCTGCATCAGAAAGTTTGTATTCAGCGTTTTTATATCAGTAGAATAGGGCCTTGAAGTATTACACTGAGCTACTCCTCGTTTTAAAAAAGATAAGGCAAAATTAGTGTGAAAAGCAGAGCTTAGATTTTAAAGGCACATAAAGACTAGACGTTAGACTTGGGTTTTGACAATGGCTGTAATTTGGCTCGTGTTACACTTAAATTGAGGCAGAAAAGAAATTGCTAGCAAAGAAAATATATCCACATGGTGCTGAGTTTTATGGCTGCAGTGGAAAAGAGTTTTGAATGCCAAAAATGGTGTGCATTGGAATATCTCCTCTTCCTTTGTGCTGTTCTAAACTCCTAATAGCTCAGTAGGGCAGCGCAGAAGAAGGTCTGAGTGTACTATGTAAAACCATGTACTACACTTCTGGTATCAGCTGTTTCCTCATTTAATAATATACTTTGACTTGTCGTCCTCGTAAGACAAGGGCTGTTGAGCTATATTCTTGTCAGCTGCATCTGGTTATAAATTATCTGCTGTTGATTATCTTGTAACACTGCTAGCAGTGTAAAGGGTAGCGTGCTAACAGGCTTCATCTGGGGAGGGGACTTTCTTGCCCTTTCATTAGTAGAACAAATTGTTATGTCTTTTCCAGGACTTGGCTACTCCAGAGGCTTTTGCGCAAAACCCTTCTCGTGTATGGGAATTTTACCATTACCGCCGGGAAGTGATGTTGAGTAAACATCCAAATCCTGCACATATTGCCATCGCGGAGTGCGAAAGGCGGCTGAGCAAGCAAGGAAGGGGTGTCGTGGTCATTACTCAGAATATTGATGAACTACACAGAAAGGCAGGCACGAAGCACCTCTTAGAAATTCACGGTAAGAATCAGCTTACCTGTCTGCTACAGGCCAGCAAACCTCTGGGGGAGAAGAGAGAGCAGGTTAAGTACTGTGAGGAGAGAAATTTGTCTTTAAAATGATAATAACTTGCATGAAGTTATTCACAATGTCACCCAGTTCTCTTTGGAAGTTGTTCCAGTACTTCATAGCCTCCCTTTATTTCTCACGTGCTCAGTTTTGCCTCACATCCACTTGAATACATGTAGATAAGAGATACTTGCCTGATTTTGATTACAAAAGGGGGAAATAATCCATTGAGGACTTCCACTCTGTGGTGGCGGTGGTGCCACACCACTGCTGCCGCCAGTAAAACGTGAATTGGCGAGACTGGTCTCACCAGCCCTGCTGCTTTCCCCCTCTCCTGTCCTGTCCCTGCGCGGTCCTTGGCGACAGGAGGAAGAAGGGGCTGGAAACAGATGAGGTTCTCTTGCCTTTTGGATCTGATGAAGTACATTACCGGGGTGGAGAAAACGGAGGGTGAGGAGGCCCTTCTCCATCCCGTGAGCAGATGGATGGCCCTGCCGCAGAGTGAAAGGCTCCCAGGACAAAGTCCCATCCTGCTCCTCCAGCAGTATGGTGCTTCTTAAGTATCACAAAAGGTTTCCCACCACTATGTTGTGATCTGGACACAGGAAACCTGCACAAATTGTTCTGCGGTTGTGGATCCAAGGATAAGGTCTTGGGTATAGTTAATTTTAGTCTTAGTCTTTACAAAATAGAAACAATTTTAAAGTCTTGGTAATATTGTGCATCTCTACAACACACTATAGAAGTCTTGGGGCTGGAGAGTTTTGCATAAAATAGAAGAGTGTTAACCAATATCTTTTCTTTTTAAGAAAACGTTTCTGATTTAAGGGGAAGAGCAGTAAGGAGAAATCCTCTCCCTTAGTGATATTTTAAATAATGATTTTCCTCTGAAATCCTGTTACGAGGCTGTGTATTACCCATGTGGTGAGGTAGAACAAGGTGGCAAATCATAGCTCAGGGGGACTGTCGCTGTTGTTCGCTGCCACCTTTCAGCTGGAAGGGCTGTGTCTGTCTTTGCTGATTGACTACGAAGCTGGTCACCTTGGGCTGCTGAAGAAAAGCGTGTGTACGCACTACATCAATAGCATCTCGTTCATAATGCTGCTGGGTTTCAACACTTGGCTGTTACGTTCATGTAGTAAGTTACACACAAGGTATAGTCTCCAAAGTCAAATAAAGGCCGTCCGGGATTAACACAACCATTTGTTTGTGCAGCCATGCCTCAGAGCAATCGCTTGATCTCTGATGTTTTCTCTTTGTGCATTTCAGGTAGTTTATTTAAAACTCGATGCACCAACTGTGGAAATGTGGCTGCGAATTACAAGAGTCCAATATGCCCCACGTTGGCTGGGAAAGGGTAATACAGCTGTCCTGTAAACTCTGTATTGTCTGCTTTGTCTGCTGTTCCATGGAAGAGGAGCCATTTAGGAGCAGCCAGCCACCCCATTTTCCGTTAGTAATATTAATGCTTAAGTTTCACACAACTGTCTTGAAACCTGAGTAGACTGTTCAGTAACTCCAGTGGGATGATACCAGAAGTCCTGTGAATGAGTAACTGCTAACCTCTAGGTTAGCATAGCATTATATAGATTTTCATTAGAACAATTTCAGATGCTCTGAAACTCTCATATTGGAACTAATTGTACCCTTTGAGAATGTGTGTTTACTCCCATCCACCTCACCTTTCAGGTTTTTTATTAAATTGGGTGCTTATTCCTTACATTGGACTGTCATCACTTGATACATGGATTGTCTTCTTCTGCATCTCTTGAACATCTACTAGCTTTTGTCCTTCAATTCATCAACAAGATTCTCGTGATTATAGGTCTCAAAATACAGATGTGTGAAACAATCATGAGGAAAGCATCAGTTCTCAGGATTTCTGCAACTTAAAGTTGCAGAAGAATCCTTCAGTCTCCTTTTCCTGGGCATCCTCTTTTCTTTCACCATTTAAAAAAGGGGGCGGGGGGACAGGACAGGCATATGCTCATAGATTTTTAGGGGTTTTTTTCCCTTTGCATATCACCACATCTTCAGATAGTTACATAAATATTTGTTGTGCCTTTGACAGCCTTTGACCAGCTTATTACAGCTGCTTAGCTCTGAGATAATTCTGAACAAATGCCTGCCTGCCTGGAGTGTGGTATTTTAGGGTTGTAGTAGGTGTTGAAGTTGGCTGAAATTGCAAAGATTCTGTGGTTGGAGAGCATGCTTTAGAGAATTCTCAGTTTTTATTAATATATAAAGTGCACTTTGTACAATTGGATATGTATTTCAATTTTGTAACTTCAGGGCTCCAGATCCTGAAACAGAGGACGCCATGATTCCAGTTGAAGACCTTCCTCAGTACGTATGGTCTGCTTTGCTTTTTGCTGTTACCTCTTCATACATTCTGCATCTCAAAGGCTTACGTTACTGTTCATGTAGTTTTGGAAGGACACGGAAGCATTCTACAGGAGAAAAAGACGTGGGACTTTGCCCCAGAGAACTGGGGCAGCAGACAACAGAAGTGTGTACTGGAAGCTTACCATGATGCTAAAGGGATTGCGTGCTTATGTACTTGATGGTCAAGCTGAAACATGCCAAAATTCATGGGGTTTGTAGTAGGTTGAGTGATAGGAGAATAGCATTAAGAAGCATTTTGTTCCTGTGCAGGTGCTACCTGCTGTTGGTCAGTCTGGAATACTGGGGTACAGCCACTGCACAGTCTCTTGCAGGCATTAAAGACGCCGCAGTGCTTTCTTATAATGGCTGAAGCTTTGCCTGAGCTAGTTGTAGATGCTAGAAGCGATCGTATTTTTCATCTGGTTCCTAAGGAAAAGAGCCTAACGTGACGCTTCTTTCAGTTCACTTCCTCCTTAAAAGCCTGTTGGCCAGTTTGTTACAGTCACTAGAGGCAGAGGTCTGTAGCACATACATTTGAGGAGCTGAGTAAAGGAAAGACATGATTAAATGTCTGAGCTGAACAACTGTTCTGTGTGACTGGGCAGCATGTGTGAACTTCCAACAGGCGTGTAGCTGGGCATCAGCTGCCTCCTGTCTGGCACGTGGTAGAGGAGGGTGTGGGTAGGGCTGTGAAAGAGAAGGAAGGAAGAGTGAGGGTAGATAGGACATGTCAAAATGAAAATGAAAACTGATTTGACATCTTGCAGGTTGAAATGTCCCCATTGGCAGGATAATGCTGTCCCTTTGTTTTTTTTAAACAGGTGTGAGGAGGACGGCTGCAATGGGCTCCTCCGTCCCCATGTTGTGTGGTTTGGTGAAACCCTGGATCCCAACATTCTCACAGAGGTCGAGAAGGAACTTGAGATCTGTGACCTCTGCTTGGTAGTGAGTGATGCTTTTGTTACCTAGCCTCCTCACTGGCAGTGATTGCAGTCTAGTGGGGTTGCATCTCCTGGGTAAAACAGATGCACCTGTACCTCCGCAAGGCAACTAAAAGCCCCTGAGGGACTCTAGTGTCAAGTGTAAAACATTAAGAGACCATGAAGTTCGAAAACGTACATATGCCACTCAGAAATTAACAGGTTTGGTGTGCGCGCATCCTGCTCAGTTGGCATCTGCAGTCTCTTTAGTGTACACCGGTGTTAGAGGCTCAGGCGTTAGAGGTTAGCTAATACTTAAATTTCTCAAACAGTGAAAAACAGGATTATTTTGATGCTCAATTTTCAAAAAAGTTAGAAAATCTTGGAAGAATGTAGCTAGCTGTTGTCATGTCCTGCACTTTTTTGGTGAGGTTATATGCCATGTAGGCTTTACATTGCTGACAAAAACATTCGCTCAGAATATTGTGTACCTTTCACAGAATAATCTTAAGTAGGGGACATCTAGTGGGGTTTTATTTTTCCTGAAAGCAAAGTCTGCCATTTTGTTTCTTGGATTTTCACGTTCATCTACAGTTACAGTCCCCAAACAGGCTTCTTTGGATTGCATCAGAGAAACAACTCCTGATTCTCACAGTACATTACACAGCTCCATGTGCAGTGACCCTAAATGCAAACAGGGATTCGGTTTCATTTCTGCGGGGATCTCTCATGCTTCAGCAGTTTTGCAGATGCCCTGTTCCCAGAAGGGC